GATATAGTCTAACTATAATTAATAGTGATACAGTGTTGTCATTCCGACCAAGCATGCTGAGCTCCTGATGACATACCCGCAAATCCCTGAAATAAAGAACCACTGTGCTGGTTTTACTGGGTCTGCCCTAGATGCTGACTGATGTGATACTTACTGGCCGATGTTTTATAAAACTATAACGACACATACACTTCGTATTATTTTCAGTCAGTCTTGTGGGCTAGTTGATTTGTAAGAAAGTTCTTTAATATAGCTATATTGTTATCAATCTATCTTGTCTATTGGACCTCTAAAATTGTCTATTTAGTTATCTAGTTATTAGGAAGTATTTTATATTCTAGTTATCGGTTTATCTATATAATTCTTTACTCTTATGCTATGTATCTGATAGTAGACAATTATCTAGATAGATAGACCGATAACTAGAATATATATACATACCTACATACACACCCACCAGTCTGTATATTTATGGAGCTAACTACCTAAGATCTGTGTGGCTTCTTAGTAAACTATTATCTGGTTATCTGTGAAGCTATTCCCTTGTGTATCTATTTATGTATGGAGTTGTCTGTTTTTGTAGTAACCTACTTATCCCATTTGTTTTGCATTTATCCCTGTCTACTTGTATATTTGTTGATGTTTTCCTCTTCACATTTTTCTTCAATTAATATTCCAGTCAGTGTTGTTGTTGTTGTTGTTTTATTTTACCAGTCTATATATTAATATTCCAGTCAGTGTTGTTGTTTTATTTTACCAGTCTATATATTAATATTCCAGTCAGTGTTGTTGTTGTTTTATTTTACCAGTCTATATATTAATATTCCAGTCAGTGTTGTTGTTGTTTTATTTTACCAGTCTATATATTAATATTCCAGTCAGTGTTGTTGTTGTTTTATTTTACCAGTCTATATATTAATATTCCAGTCAGTGTTGTTGTTGTTTTATTTTACCAGTCTATACACCTATTATTTCTCAACAGTTCTATTGCTTCTATTTCCATTACTTACGTTTCGTTTTACATCTCTCCTTCGTATATTTTTTATACATTTCTTTTCTGTTTTCCTTCTCGCCTCACTTATTTTTTCCCGTCTCTCTTTCTTTTCTTGTAGTAATAGTACTTCTAAAATTTCACGAATCGGCGTGACAACAAATCAGTAACGTGTGTCCGGTGTTTTTTTTTTCTTCACAAAAAACCCTTTTTATGATATTGATTAGAAATTCGGCGTCTTCCTGCCATCCATGTCTACATCTGCTGACAAGAACATAAGAAATCGATTTCAACGAACAGAGAAATTGAGTTGAAGTTTGACCAAAGAACTGTACCTGTCTATCTATCTTTCTATCTATCTGTCTGTATGACTGTATATGTCCATCTGTCTGTCTAGTTATCCAAGAGTTTGGTTAGTGTTTACTCCTTTTGTATGAGGAAAACGAATGAACATTTTATTTTTTAGTTAAAATTAAACGTGCTACAATTTTTAAAAAAGCGTTAATATTCCTGATATGATTTCATCAGTTTCGTTTTAAATCGTTGACAATATTTTCACAAGTAGTCAACTTAAACGCAGCTTCTCTACATTACGTTTAGCGTACTTTCATTTTTCACTGCCATTGATCTTGGACTGTTTATTAAATGTGTTTTGTAATATAGTTTTAGAAGAGTGAGTTTTTAAGCATCCCAAATTAACTTTCGTATTGCTTCACCATTAGTTAACAGTTTGGTCGTTACTTCATTTAAACCGAAATTTTCATGCATTTTTTTCTCCCTGATCAGTCTAACAACCCCCCCCCCCCCCACACACACACACAAGGATAGGTGTTACTTGTCACGATGTAGAGCATTATTTCAGTATTGGGTGTGTCCCGAATTCCACTGGAATTCTCAGTTAGAGCCCAATACATTTTGGTAACAAAAAGTACATTTTCTGAAGTGCAAAAATAACATTCTAAAACTAAAGATGCCAGGTTCTTTAGAGTTAATGAGCACCTGGTGATATAATTAAAAATACAAAGAAACAAAAGCAATATTCTTAGAGCAACCAAGCTGAATAAATAAGATTAGGAATATCGTTCCATGAAGTAGGTTGTTCTTTCATTAGGAACATCGTTCCATGAAGTAGGTTGTTCTTTCATTAGGAACATCGTTCCATGAAGTGGGTTGTTCTTTCATTAGGAACATCGTTCCATGAAGTGGGTTGTTCTTTCATTAGGAACATCCTTCTATGAAGTGTTCTATGTCAAGTTCAATAATATACGTTTCAGCCGAGGTTATGTAGTACTTTTATATAGAAAATATTAAGTCTTTTTTACTTGTGTTCGGTATCGTGCATTTAAAACGATACACAAGAGAAGTCTTGACACAATCTCTCTTGCTTTAATGAAATTAGTGAGTGTACCAATTATGTTATTCGGTTATATTTATTATTAACGCCAGGATGACTGAGACTTAATATAGAAATCTACAGGGTATTAGTATTTGGATCTAGGACTAACCCGAATCTTTAAGACGGTCATCCTCGAGAGTTATTATTGGGATTCGGCCGAAAATATCGATAACAGCAAGCTTTTATCCGACTAATGAATGAACCCATTCTAATCATTATAAGTTCTTGTTTCTATGACTTTCCGTACTTTTAGTTAGACCGATATTATATTCATTACTGGGTAGTTTGTACTTATGATAGATCTGGGTAGGCTGTTTTGATCAGAAGTTATTGTATTATATAAGAAAGTGAAGCAACCGAGTTCATTAGTTTCATTTCATTGGAGCCCAAACTTTCCTTTACGTGGGAAGTCGTTTGTTATCGTTACCATTGCAGAGATGTCTATTTAAATGTAACAGCAGGAACAGTGCATCGAGAATAACTTACACACTAGGAAAAGTGCATCGTAGTGTGTAAGTTATTCTCGATGCACTTTTCGTAGTGTTTAAGTTATTCTCCATGCACCTTTCCTAGTGTGTAAGTTATTCTCGATGCACCTTTTCTAGTGTGTAAGTTATTCTCGATGCACTTTTCCTAGTGTGTAAGTTATTCTCCATGCACCTTTCCTAGTGTGTAAGTTATTCTCCATGCACCATCCTAGTGTGTAAGTTATTCTCATGCACTTTTCCTAGTGTGTAAGTTATTCTCCATGCACTTTTCCTAGTGTGTAAGTTATTCTCCATGCACTTTTCCTAGTGTGTAAGTTATTCTTCTGATGATAAACCTGTAGGAACAGTTAACCTGCGATATAGATGAAAAGGGTTAGCCTGATGATAAACCTGTAGGAACAGTTAACCTGCGATATGGATGAAAAGGGTTACCTTAATGAGAAACCTATAAGAGCTTATACTAATATGAGCACTGTTTTAATATGACATACAATGGTGATATGTCAAATTATAGCTAGTTGATTAAGATGAGCTTCATAGTATTTTGATTTTCAGAAAACGAAAATATACTATGATATATTTTAATTTAATCTTTATTTTATTTTTTAAGAAACTAATGTTGTGTTCAACACTGATGGGCTTCTAACGCGTCATACAACACAAGCTCTAAGGTTTCGCTATATAATGTGAAACATTTTATTTTAGTGTTAGATTGGTGGTACGCGTGAATACAAATCCTATGGAGTGTGTAAGTTATTCTCCATGCACCATCCCGTTAACCTATGATATGGGTGAGAAGGGTTAGTGTTCCTACAGGTTTATCATCAGGCTAACCCTTTTCATCCATATCGCAGGTTAACTGTTCCTACAGATTTATAATCAAGCTAACCCTTTTCATCCATATCGTAGGTTAACTGTTCCTACAAGTTTATCATCAAGCTAACCCTTTTCATCCATATCGCAGGTTAATTGTTCCTACAGATTTATCAATATACTAACCCTTTTCACCCATGCCGCGAACCAGATTTAAACTGATTCTTCGTCGAAAAAAAAACTTAGAGCGGAATGTCACCTCGGTTATTCAGCTGTAAGCTTGGGGACTTATAACGCTAAAATTCGGGGATTGATCCCCTGCGCTTGGTACAACAGCTTTGCGCTTATCAACAAACACATATATACACACAAGTTGTTCAATTAGTTTTTCGTTACATTATTATTTTTCTTTGACGATACCTATTTTGATTGCGTCCATAGTTCCATACGCTAATTCACAATCTATAGCACATTGTAACATACAGGTAACAAATCTACCTTTGTTACTTAATACACGTACAGGTGCTTCAGTTCTGTAGTCGAATGCTGTTACATCCAAGTAACAGTCTAAACAATCCATAGAATTATTTTTGTTGGTTCCTCAATTGAACATTGTTACTTCCATGTAACTTACTCATTTGTAACTTATTAAAATATATATTTTTGTGCAGTATAGACCTATTTAAATAATAAATTTAAATAATATGTTTTCTGTTATATTTTCATAATGCGTGCAGTAGAGGGTTAACTTCCAACTATTAACAGTGAAATAAGTATGTAAATTTTATATCCAGATTCATGTTTGTGAATTTGAAGTGATGTCATAAAAATATTGCCATTATTCTAAAACATCAAAAATATACAAACTATTGTAAATGAAATACAGTCTTTTTTCAATCTTGGATGTTTTAAACTGACATACTAAAATCCTCTTCAAGGCCTCATATTCTAATCATCACGATAATATGGCTTAAACATCCTGTCTCTTTGATGAAATTATTTATTCTTAACTTATTCTTCTTCCCATAAATTCTAAGTTTTCTTTCAGTACTGTATTCTATTGGCTAACGAACAGGGGAGAAGTTCAAACCCCTCGTTTATTGAAACAAACATAGTTTGCTGGTGTTAATTTGTCCTTTCCTTTACGAAGTTCTTTCCTATGTTTAAGCTACCAACTTAGAACAGCCAGTATGTCATTTCTCGAAGATTAACTTCCAGGATCTCGAAGAGTAAAACAACAAGTGAATTAGAAGGTGTCCAGAGAGAGAGACGGGGAAACCAAAAACTGATTATTCTCCTATTTGTACTCTAGGTTGAACGAGAAATTGCCATCATGAAGCTGATTGAGCATCCACATGTACTAGGGCTGTACGACGTGTACGAGAATAAAAAATATTTGTAAGTATACGAATATATAGTCAGCTAGTTGTAACAGTAGATAAGAAATATTTGTTATTTACGAATATAGTCAGCTGGTTGTAATAGTAGTTAAGAAATACTTGTTAGTTTACGAATATAGTCAGCTGGTTGTAACACTTGATAAGAAATACTTGTAAGTATACGAATATATAGTCAGCTGGTTGTAACAGTAGATAAGAAATACTTGTAAGTATACGAATATAGTCAGCTGGTTGTAACACTAGATAAGAAATACTTGTTAGTTTACGAATATAGTCAGCTGGTTGTAATAGTAGTTAAGAAATATAATATATTTTGTTTATGTATATATATCGATATAATGTTTTTAATTGATTTTAATAACATCACAGTTACAGTAAAGAAAAATTAACTTTTAAAACTGTTTTTGGATTTAAAAAATAACTAAGTATACGCATGTAGTCAGTTTGCTATAACAGTGTAGTTCAGAAATACAATTTTAGATATATATATAAAGTGCAATGTTTATAATAGATCATAACAATACTATAGTTACTATAGTAAATAACTGCCTTTAAAAAGGTTTTTCGGATTGAATATATAAAGATGATGTTCAGTTTAAACTTTCTTGGTGTGTTTTATATCTACAGTAAACTAATAAATACTTGAAAAAAACAGCCATCTTTTATTATAGCAACTTACTATCCTAAACAGTATTATCAACAGTCTGTTTGACACAATAAATCAAAGAGAGAGAGAGAGGATTACAGCTGATCCTACATTAAGGCTTCAGAACAGAAATAGACAGTTTATGCTGTTTCTATCATAATAATTTGGAAGCAAAAGTACCCGTCCCCAGTGACGGGAAAATTTT